CCATAGCCTTTTGAAATTCAGCTGGCATATCTGCTAGTCCGTAGAATCCTGTCAAGAAACTGTAAGTTCCGGTTGCTTTTCCGCCCACAATGTTAAAGTTGCATTGCCTAGCTGTATCCGCAGCTAATTTTAGTTGACTGTACGCATATTTCAAATCTAACACCGAAAAATATAGCGTACCCTTTTTGTTTTCAGTTACAATCTAGCTTACCCCATCAATAAGTTCATCTACATTTGGCATTTGGTATTTGTTTTTGAACAATTGTCTATTGATTGGTTTCGCGTCCATTGCCAATTTTATTGAGTCATCCTTCTTTACTGTTATCACAATCGGGGCGATAAAGCAATCACTTGTACACTTATCAAGTTTTGTTATATGACCTTCTGTCAATAACTTCTCGATTTCTTTTTCGACTTTATTTTGTATATGAATTGGGATTCTTCTCCCCTTTTCTTGTATCGGACATAGTGGGTATTTGAATTTTGAACTGACGATGTGGTTTTTAGAAATGCCTTGCCTTTCGAATAAGTTCTTAAATTTATTTAAAAATATTTCTTTCCAACCTTCCGACTGCTCGCACATGAGCACGTCAAACCTGGTGAGTTCTTTTGGCGCTGTTCTTTGTGTAGTCACTATTCCCACTTGTCCTTGCAAGTCTAATCCCATGATGCATCTAGTTTATCGCTCTGATACCAGAAAGGTTGCGCCCTTAACTTCCCAGCCCGCTGACCTCAGATTGGTTTTTAGGGCTCCCAGGATACTGATCGGTTGTTTGTTGTAGTCCACAAATTTTGTTTGTAAGTTCAATTTGTCAGACGGTATGAATCTCACTTTGTTTGATTTTTCCATGATTTCTTTCGTCGTTGCCCAGTTAAGAAATGAAACAGGACTACCAGTATCCACTGTTAGCTGAATAATCTGGTTATCTATTCGTACCATAGCCTTTAGTGACTTTACGCGGTTCAATGTTGGATCTCGAATAGAGTCTATTTTCTGAACTCTAACCACTTTTCCGTTTGTTTCTTTTCTCATCTCATTTATTCGATCTTTCACATATTTTGAAACTCGTTCATTTTCCGGTTGTTGAGTTTGTATCAACATGACTTCAAATTCACTACAGGACCCAACACCTCCACTGATCTGGTCGCATTCCACTATCGATTCTTCCGAATCTTCCGCAACTTCACTTACTTGTTGTGATCTGCACATTTTAGCGAAATGATTTGGTTTACCACAGTTTTTACAGTCCTTTCCCATCGCTGGACAATTTTTTAGGTGTCCTTGTTCAAACGTCCTTCCACATCTATTACATGGTTTTGTTTTCGTGTTTTGATTTTTGTTATTATTCTGTCTGTTATTATTTTCTCTTCTATTTGGAGTTTTGGTTTTCCCCCCCCAAATTTCGAACTGCCATTAAAGGTTCCTGTTTTATTCTTACACCCGATGTGTAATTGCTACTTGATCCTCCTGCCGCCGCAGCATTAGTCTTTTGAAATGCCATTGTGGTTAACTTGCTATGTTCGAATTTTATAGCCCTTTTTAGAACTTCCTCTGGATCCAGGGTTTCGAATGTCAACGTGTCCTGTAATGTCATGTTCTTCATCTTCGAGATGAACAAGTCTCGCACTATTTCATTTTCCAATGTTCCTAGTTCTGATCGGGCTGCTTGAGCAGTTAACGCTGCGTGGAATGATTCCAGAGATTCTCCAGGTTCTTGCATTCTCGTAAATAACTTGTATCTCTCGTATGTTACACATTTCACTTTTTGAAACGATACTTCTGCCAACTCTGTTACTTCTCTGAACGTCATTTTCGATATTTCTGCGTGCGGATTCTTTTGTAGGAATCTTTTCTTTCCCTCAGTGCCCAAAGATAGAAATAGTCGTGACACCAGTTTCTTTTGTACTTCGTTGTAGAAGACATTGTGTCCGACTCGTGGGCCTCTTGTTCTTTTCTCTTCGTTCTCCAATGCTACTCTGTCTCTAGCTAGTTTATCTCTAAGAATTCTGGCGTTCCTCGCATCTTCGTTCTCCCCATCCCTGGGCGTTTCCGGGCGTGGTGGTGGTTCCTCTAATATGTCTTTTGGTTCTTCCAAAATAATCTCTGGGTTCACATTTTCTTTGACCGTAACCGCCATGAGAAATTGTTCGAACCAGATTTTAAATTGCCACGGAGGGTCTAGATTCGCTGATGCCCAAAATACCGGGATTCCCATATCCGTTCTGTTGTCTTGAGCTGCGAATCCTGCTGGCTGCGCCATGTGATATGCGTTGCGATATCAAATTGAAAACAAGTTGGAATTCAATACTGTATTCTGAATATTGAATTTAGATTTTCTCATTTCTTTGTTTTCTTATGTACTGAGAGATAGATCATTGTTAAGTACTCTGATCTCTCACTTAGTCTCAGTGTCATCACTTATGTATGACCTTGAGCGTACCATAAAATAATGATTTAACACCAGAGGTTGGCTGTACATACGTATAATAAATACTGCTACTGCAGTAGCGGTATGACAAACTGTAACAACTCAACGAAGCTGAGTAATTGTTGGGGCTTTATATTCAATTTTTTGAAAACACGTGCCATTCATCTCAAGTTTGTTTAGTCAAAACATACAAGTTACTCTGTAATGGCATACAATGCTGGATTAATTGGGGAGTTACGCCTTCCGTCATCTGGCCTGTAAACGTATCGAAATTTGTTGACTAGTCAAAGAGCTGCCTGCTATCATGCATCGAGAACAAGAATCGCCAAAAGGAGTGTCCGGTAAAGGAGTGTCCGGAGCACCGTGGACTTCTCAATGTGCCTCTCGGAAAACTGAAAGTTACTGAGAATGTTCTAATAACAAGTTCTTTTTTTTAGAACAGTCTCTCAACAACCGTCCCATCGGCTTGCATCGTCGCGGTCCGATTCGAACAACCTCGAAACAATAACGCCGAATCACTTGTTGTTTAGACACACTAGAAGTAGCTTTCCGCCTTCAACTTTTGCGCAAGACTTCAATCATCGAAAACGATACAAAAGAGAAAAATCTTGTGGAGATGCCATCTGGACCCGTTGGCTCCTTGAGAACTTACAAATGCTAATTAAATGAGCGAAATGGTTTTCTTCTTCGGAGTACCCTGTGAAAACTGTACATCTAGTTTGGATGATTCAAGACAATGTTCCAATAGGACATTACCCGCTGGCCCGAACGACCGTCAAACTCGCACACATTTCCGCTGTGTTAGTGGCGGAGTTTCTTAGAGCACGCTAACTCCACATTAGCTTCTAAATATTCTACAAGACATATACAATTTTAAGTTTCTGTTTTTTTTGGCATTTTTTTAAAATTATGAAAATGCTTCAAATTTGGTTCTGCCTTCATTTTTTGTGCCCGACTGAACTTTGAATTAGACCTAAAATTGAATTAGTTTAGGTGTAGATTAGGTTTTTACACATTAATTTGTTTGCTGGCACTGTTTAGAAAAATTTTTGCTTGTTCAGCTTAGCTATTGCCGTATTACGAATAATTTATTGAAATGATGTAGATTTGCGGCCGTTTTCTAGTTTCTCATAAAATAAAACACCCACTCGTTAAGAAAAACAAAAACAAAAACAAGAAAAACAAAAAGCTGCTCAAAAACTGTTCACACGTCCTTTTGCATGCAATGAACTTTGTGCTAACTTGATCACCTGTACACGCTGACACGTTTTATTACAGTTTATAACATAAAAAATCGTTTTATATTAATGTCAATCAACTGAGTTTCAGAAAAATTAAGGAACTGTGAAAGAGTCAGGTTGTCATTAACTGATCAGGTTGACCGCACGCCCCTATGTTCGAATTGTGAGAGATGCAAACACATGGGTAAAAAATTGAACCGCAGAACTTACTATGCCAACCACTTATTTTTAGCCGTCGTTTTGCCAGGCATGTACCTGAAAACAAGTACCAACACCAATACGAATATGTTTAATGTCTGCCTATGAAATCATTAAAACTAATGTTTTTAGTAGTAGTAGGGTTGCTTCTGTGTTTCCACATGGGGTCCTGGCCCCTTCATTGTATCGCCATATGTACGTCTTGCTGCGGCAGTTGTTCGCCGCACAATCGCACCCAATTTTCCACATGCACTTGTCAACTTGATTATATTCTAACCAGTCTGCAAGTTTGATAGAAGAAATTTTGTTCAGCTTTCAGGCGTTTAGGCCGTTTCAGCTGAAACATTACACCGCGAGAAGACTCTGATAGTATGCGCACATTTAGATGCATACTGTCGTATCGTTCTAATCTGATTTTTGAAAGCAGCAAAAATATCATTTATCTGTATATACGTAGGAAGCGGTAAAATTTGCAATTGAGCAATTTTTTCTTTGTATGTCAATGTTCCAGGAAAAATCAATTTGACGACTCTTTTTTGAATAGTCTCTTGTTCATGTGTGACATATTTGCTTAATCGATAGCAGGGGCTGGCGTATGTCAAAACAGGGACTACCATAGATTTATAAAGGTTCAATTTTGCAGTACGACTCAGATTGTTTGCATTTCATTATTGCTAACAGAAATTTTTTAGAGTATCGAGAACGAAGAAAAAACTACAAATTTCTCAAGAGCACAACTTGAAAGTACCTTTGTTTGAATGCTACCACGTTTTTATTCTGAAATGCAATTTTGGGCTGAAAATATGGCGCATCAATTCTTCGTAGCTCTTGATAAATCGCGATAGCTTTTAAAAATGGAAAAATATTTTTAAACCTTTTTTTTCTGATTTTTACTGTTGAAGTTTAGTAGAGGATCCTACGAATCATTCGAATCCTGGTAATTTCCCATTGGTCACGAATGTCTGTTATCTATCTGTCTTCTCTATTATCGTGGTTGAGTTAAGTTAGATAATTGGACGAGTATGAATTTTTTTGCGCTTTTTTGACAGTTCTCTTTCTATGAGAGCATACGGTTCTACAATTAATTTCGCTTGGTTTCTTATTTAGTGGTTAATTGATGTTTTCTAAGCGTTCATCCTTGGTTGTCTGGGTCATTCAGCCTACGCAAATTGTTCATTATGATCTGCTCAATCTGAGCTCTCATGATACGCATTTGCCACTGAAGTACCTTTTGTTCCTGTACCATGATGAGGTGGTGCTGGGTGTTTAGCATCTGCGTAAGCACATCAGTCATTTCCTGTTCACTCATCGCCATCGGTTGACTGTCCGCAAAGGGGGGGTTGGGATTCATCGGCTGGAAGTTACTCTGCACAGCGAGGGGGTTGGGATTCATCGGCTGGAAGTTACTCTGCGCAGCGGGTGGGTTGGGATTCATCGGCTGCGGGTACGCAGAGGGAGGATTGGGTTTCATCGGCTGCGGGTACGCAGACGGTGGGGAAACTGGAGGAGGAGACCTTGAAAACATATAATTTTCATTCCGTCTGGTTTTCTTTTTTCTGCTTTTTTGCTTAAAAATTTTGCACAGGACGGGTTGGATCAGCCTCAGCCGTACAGCCCCCGCCTCCCCCACTGAATCGATTTAGGGAGAAAATATTGATTTTTCATGCGTCATCAGGTTGCATTTGAGCTCTGTTTCCACCCCCACCAGCCAATTTTTATAAGCGAGTTTTCTGTTCAAATGTCCGATTGTTACAAACAATATCATGCAGATTAATTGAGCCATGACCAACATTTTTAGTGTTGTTACTTTAACATTGTAAAACACCTCTCGTTACACCAAAAAACTGATGTTTATGTGAAGGTTGGGAGTAAGGGAGGAAAAAAGCTGCGGGGTGGGTTAAATTGAGGACTTACCAAGCATGACGTCCTATACTGGGGAGAGGAGTCAAATTAGATGCATTCTGCATATGTTGTCCATTTCTCCATCCTATTTCTCCTGGCTTCAGATCCCTGTTGGGGTTCATTTTACCAAATCAATTTTTTTTCAACCTTTTTATTTTTAATTATTTATTTTAGCTTGAAATAAGCCTTTTGTGGTTGCAGTTTTTTTGGATGGAAATTTAGTTTGAATGTTGATTCATTTAAGTAGTAGTTTTTTACCGCGTCTTCAAAAATACCGCTCTGAAATAACTACTCGAACCGCAAAAAAAAATTGACTTCAAGATTTTGATTTCCAATAAGCTAATACCTCCGTTTTCCATTTTGGTAAAAAATTTTACGGAATTTAAAAAAAAGATTTTGGCTCTTTTTCCTTTTCCCCCACCTGCAATTTTTTTATTTTAAATTACTGTTCATTTTGTCCAATTTTCATGAAAGTTGACATGCAGACTAATTAGGCCATGGCAAACTCATTTGGTCTTCATAATTAACCTTGTAAAACTACTCGTTAGAACATAGAATTCATGTTGGTGTGAGGGGTGGGCGGGGGGGGGGGGGTAAGGGAAAAAGAGCCAAGATTTTTTACACTGTGACTTTCATTTGCAGTCCCCGTTTTGAAGTTGGGAAGTTTTTGAAATACAGCTAATCGAGCAAATCCACCTATCCTCTACAATAAAAAATGTAGCTCTTTTTCCTTCCCCACCCCCCCCCCCCGCCCCCCCCACCTCACACGACCTTCAATATATTGCTGTAACGAGAGGTTTTACGAGGTTGAGTATGAAGACCAAATACGTTTGTCGTGCCCTTATTAGTCTGCATGTAAAATTTCATAATAATCGGACATATTGGTCAACAAATTTACATGTAAAAGTTTGCTGGTGGGGGGAAAGGAAAAAGAGCCAAAAATGTTTAGTGCTAGAGCTAGATAATTTTTTGTTTCCAAGCTGGGAGTTGGGCTATGATGCGAAAGAGACAAAGGTTTTACACTTGGGTTAAAGACGAGGCAAACTGTTTGTCTTTCATATAATACCCCCGCCCTTTTGGTTCTTTCCGATTAACTACACGCTCCCATACTCTCCCAGAGTAATACAATCAGTTTGAATGAGCTAGTAAAATTGTAATAATACGACTAGGGTTATGAGGATAAACTTGTTTCGAAGAGTTTAGAAAAGTTTTTGGGCTAATTTTCACTATCCCCCACAATTTCGAAAGTTGTTTTTTTTAGAAGTGTTTTACGTGGTATTATGGTTAAATTAGGGAGGAAGCAGCCGAAGCGTTGTGATTCTTTTTGATTCAAAGTGAAAAGTATATCGGCTTTTCTACTCCCCCCCCGCCGCCATATTTCAATTGTTCAATTCTTTCGGTTGTCTTAGGTGATATTATGGCTGATTGCGCGATGTTACGATGTAAGAAATGAAGAACAAAACTTCCTAACATGAGTCCGGTTGTTTGAACGGTCGGGAAAAAATCAAAAAAATCAATTAAATTCAGGGTTTTGAAATAATCAGAAACGTTTTCCCCATAGTTCGAACAATTGTTCAGACCATTGAAAATTGGGAGGAACTTTGTATCTGGATGCGTTCTACTTCTTTTTTCGGCTCTTTTTCCTTTCCCCCCCCCCCCCCACCTCAGACGAGCTTCAATTTTTTAGTGTAACGAGTGGTTTTACGAGGTTGATTATGAAGACCAAATATGTTTTTCATGGCCTAATTAGTCTATATGTCAATTTTCATAACAATAGGACAATGTGGTCAACAAACTTACTTGTAAAAATTTGCAAGTGGGGGGGAAAAGGAAAAAGAGCCCTTTTTTCGGCTCTTTTCCAGTTTCCCACCCCCTCGTAAAATTTCAAAATAAAGCTGTTGAAAAATTGTTCACACGGCATTTTGCATGTAAGAAATGTTGTGAAAATTTGTGAAAACGATGACACAATTTAATGCAGTTTATAAAATGACAAGTCATTTCAATTAAGTTCTCAAATATGAAATTTCCGAAATAATAAAAGGGGGAAACTGAAAATGAGCCCTTTTTTCCTTTTGTTTTCCATGCAAAATCAGGTACCACAAATAACCATCTGACTCGATTGAGTGATATATTATATTAAAGCCCTTTTAGTTGTGATTGGAAACACATTTTAAAATTTCCAAAAAATTTTTCTAGTGTCGACAGAAACCGGTTTCAAATTTTTGATTTTTTCTTAATTCGAGCAAATAAAGCAAACAAGCAGGCTTAAATCTGCTGAATTTCGTCTAATTTAATACCTTGAAATTTAACTTTAATCAAGTAAAACCAGTTTTTGGAGCGTTTTAGCTTCATTTTGAAACCAAAAACTTCAAAAAACTCTTTCTAATTTTTTTGGTTTTTCTAGTCATTGTTTTGCAAAAATTTTTGTCAAATTTGCCTATATTACTCTGACTGTCTATTTGCCTAATTTATATTTTTACGTCAGGTATTTCATCAAAGTAAGCAAAAAAAACTACACTAAAATAATTACTACAGCTTGCCCAGTAACCGGCTATCCTTGTTTTTATTCATATTTTGTCATGGTTTTAGCAAATAACAAATAGAATAATGTTTTCTAATCAATTCAATGTATCATAACTTATTGCAAAAAAACGAGGCTGAACAGAAACAAATTTCATCAACAACGGTAAGAAAAGTTGTGTTATCAAAAAACGAACACAGACTCAATTTCGAATTTCGTTTAAGTTTGAAAATCTAATGTTAAAAAGTTTTTTTCAAGTTTTCAGCTGAAACTCTAGTTAAAATCAACCCAAACCGTTTTATATGAAATGACTACCTTATACCCAAAAACGTACGCATAGTTAAAGGAGAGATGAGGGGTGCGTATTTCACAAAAGGACGAGTGTACTCGGCGGTTGCCGATCTAACTAAGGCGGTTAGCATATGCCGTCGTTACTTTAGTTCAGAGACTTCATTCGCGGTTACGGATAATTGCCTCTTGGTATTTTGTATTTTACTCAATCAACCAACCGAGAACTCGAGTTTTCAAAAGCGATGGAGAAAAAACCATTTCGCTCGTTTGTTAAGCGTTGTTATGTACTCTCGGGCCCAACGAGTCCAGATGGAATATACATACGATTGCACTCAGGATTAACGCTTTCGATGATTGAAGTTTTGCTAGAAATCTAGTAGCAAGAAGCATTAAGAGACTCGGCGTTGACGCTTCAAGATCAATCGAATCGGAGATGCGAGCATGAGCGGATGGTTTTTTAGAGACTGGTCATCTGACAAAAACGTGGTTATGAGGACTTCCTGAGTTGGTTTTCGTGTTCCGAGATTGTCTTGGAAAAAATTTTTGGCGCTTTGGAGGACCATCGGGTGATTGATTGTCAAATACAGGCCTTTAGGCGTGCAGAATGGTTTATTGTGATTTTAGTTCTCGATGCACGAAAACAGATCTTTGGCAGAGCCAACAAATCTTCTACAATTTTAGGACCAGATAACGAAGGGTGTTCCTCGCCGAGCAAGGAAGCGTTCTTTTTTGATTCTCCAGGACTTGCACTAGCAAGACTTAAAGTCCCTTATGCAGGATATTTATTGTCAGGTAACAGATCAAACTTTATCGACTAAGAAGGAAATATTTTATTGTATTACACTTGTACCCAAAAAGTATCACCTTTATATGTTTTTGAAGACAAAAGATGCTATAAAAGAATCCCAAAATTCAACAAAAATGAAGTATATTTTATTGATACACTCTCCCGAAGAATTCAATGTTGGGATTCAACAGTCCCATGTGGATCAGAAAATAGCCACAACGCAGTACAATTAAATCCTTGTAGTTGTAGTACAATGCCGTCGTAGCCACAATTGTAGTTCAATTAAGCAAGGAAGCGTTCTTTTTCGATTCTCCAGGAGTTTCACTAGCAAGACTTGAAATCCCTTATGCAAGATATTTATTGTCAGGTAACAGATCAAATTTTTTCGAGTAAGAGGGAAATATTTTATTGTATTACACTTGTACCCAAAAAGTATCACCTTTAAATATTTTGAAGACAAAAGATGCTATAAAAGAATCCCAATATTCAACAAAAATTAAGTATATTTTATTGATACACTCTCCCGAAGAAATTATTTATGGGATTCAGCAGTCCCATGTGGATCAGAAAATAGCCAATGCAGTACAATTAAACCCTGACGAAGACAAATGCTATCTTCTTACACCATACCCTATACTCGTCCAACGACTCAAAACAAATTTCACCAGAAAGCATTGGAGCTATTGCCCGCAACCCCAATATTGATTTACAATCAGTCGTCATTTACTCTAAATCAGACATCCAACATCACATTCGAACACAACAATTTCAAGAATTACTCAAAGAAATGGACACAATACAACGACAATCCATAGATAAAAACCTACGCAAACTTGCAGAAACAGCAGGCGTTTCAGACATATACGCACAAGACTATTGCGTATGTTATGAAGATATAAAAGATTACTTTTACTCAAATGGCGAAAAATACAGACCTCAAGATAAATCGCCGATAAAAATGTTTAGTTTCGTAATTTTGAAAAACGAACTTCTTGCCTTTCTAGGATGGTCCTACTACACTTTAGAAAGAAAGATTATATTATAAGCAATGTTTAATTTTCTTGGATTTGTTTTCTCTCTCTTAAAATGACTCTACAATACATGCGCAATACACACACAAGTAAGCAAACAAGCAAGCGTAGCACGCATACTTTTCGCAGGATTTTTTGGAATATTTTCAACATCAATCAAAAAAGTTCTTTTAGACGCTCAAATAAAAAAATACAATACCAAATTATCAACAAAACAAACACGTATGACGAATCACGAAACGACACAAATACAACGCCCACAGCACCACAATTGCAAAACCTTAACCATAACCACCTCCTATCATTGGTACGGCGAAATTTTAGAAATATTGCCCTAACAGACCTCATAACTTCGAGATCTAGCTATCCACACAGCCCAATCCAACACATAATAACCCAACAACCCAACATAGACGACACATACAAAAAACTTATAGAACAACCACATACCACTAATTTTCGTTCTCAGAAAAACCATCTTTTTAGCCCAAG